CCGTTCAAGGCCACGTTAAATAGCAAACCAGCTCCTCTGCCCTAGCTGGTTTGGCTCAGTGGATAGAGCGTCGGCCTGAGGACTGAAGGGTCCCAGGTCCGATTCCGGCCAAGGGCACATGCCTGGGTTGCAGGCTCGATCCTCAGTGGGGGGGCGTGCAGGAGGCAGCCGATCAATGTTTCTCATCATTGATGTTTCTATCTCTCTATCCCTCTCCCTTCCTCTCTAAAATCAATAAAAATATATATTTTTTCATTTTTTTAAAATATATTTTATTGATTTTTTACAGAGAGGAAGGGCGAGGGATAGAGAGTTAGAAACATCGATGAGAGAGAAACATCGACTAGCTGCCTCCTGCACACCCCCCACTGGGGATGTGCCCGCAACCAAGGTACATGCCCTTGACCGGAATCGAACCTGGGACCCTTGAGTCCGCAGGCCGATGCTCTATCCAGTGAGCCAAATTGGTTAGGGCAATAAAAATATATTTTAAAAAACTTAAAAAACGGTTTTAACAAAAATACTTCTCATTTCTAAAAAAAAAAAAAAAAAAAAGAATATCACCTCCTCTGTAACCCCTTCCTTGATCTTCCAGGTGGTCTCAGGTTTTTTTCTTATTACTGTCATTACTGTAATAATAGTTAACATTTTATTTATTTATTTATTTTTTAATAGTTAACATTTTAGAGTGCTTACTATATCAGGCACTTGACCTATATTATCTCATTTAATTTTCACGCCAACTCCACGATTGCGGAGACTGTTATCCACATTTTACAGACGGGGAGACTGAGGCTCATCTGGATGATAAACCCAAGCAGTCTGGCTCCAGAGCGCCCCCACTGCCCCGTTACCCTAAACTGCCTCATAGTTTTCCAAAGGGTGCATGGAGTGGGTGGTGCAGGTCAGAGGCCCCCGCTCCCTGGCTATACGTCTGCACGAGGGCAAAGCCCAGTGGTGTGATGAAGGTCAAAGCTGGTGGCCTCCAGCTTCCAATCCACTTTCTGCCAGAACCCAGAAACTAGTGGGGGGAAGGGCCTGGTAGGAGGAGAGTGGCATAGTAGCCCCAGATCCAAGGTGCAGGCTTTGCTGGGCTCCTGCTGGCTTCTGGGCCTGTAAGAGGGGTGGGTCTGCCCACAGGCAGAAAGCAAGGAGCTCCAGGAGTGGAGACTGGGGGTTAGTTGGGGGCAGGGCAGGGCCTGGGCGTGGGAATGATGGAGAAGATCCCTCAGTCCTCTCAACACCTAGGTGAAGTAGGCATCCTGTCCCCATTCTACAGAGGAGGAGACTGAGTCACAGAGAGTCACTGGCCCTTCCCTGCACTGCCCACACCCACTCTGCTGCCTGTGGGCCTGGACCAGATGGTACATGAGGAGATAAGCCTATGAGATGGAGGGACGCTTTGATTCTTTTTAGACTGACCTTGGTATCACCCTGGGCTGCTAGGCCTAGGGTTTATGCAAATTAATGTAGATATATGCTAATGAGACCTCTACCAATCCCCTCTTTCTAATGGAGCTGCCAGCTCTGAGGTGCGTTGGGATAGATCTGCCCAGAAGGGGCCTGAGGAGCCCCCTAGCTGGGGATGGGTCAGCAGTCACTGGAGTGGGGTTGCCATGGAGACTGAGGCCAAGCCCCAGTGGCTACCTTCTGACAGAACCAGGGCCAGTTAGATCAGCCCTCTGAGACAGTCCTGGGCCTCCCTAACAGCTCCACGCTGGTCTCCCAGGGCTAATTACCTGGAAGGTGGTGACCAGCTGCTCCCTGCTCCCCAGGCTCCACTGAGGTAGAGGGTTGGGCCACAGCGGGAGGGTGTGAGGAAGACAGATGGCAGTCTGAGGGCTCGAGGGAGTGGGGAGCTGTCCTGAGGAAGAGGGAGCAGGACTGGAAGGGGTGAAATTCCCAAAAGCCACATCATGCAAACAGGCTCAGGGAGCCATGTGGTAGGGAAGAGTGAGGGCTTGGCCCCAAACTGATTGTTGGAGCCTCAGTTCTTCTGTGTGTCCTTGGGCAGGGCCCCTGCACTTCTCTGGGCCTTGTCTATCAGTGGGGGTAGGATTAAGAGACGTGATGTGAGTATGAGGGGTTATATACAATAGGTACTCAATAAATGATTCTGCAATTCTAAGACCCATTGAGAGAAGGTATTGATCTCCTTCGGGGAGAATTTGTTTTGTTTTCTAATAGAAAAGAATGTTCCCTCTTGCCCCTCTGTGCTTCCCCTGCTGTCTGGGCTGGAGCTGGCTTCCTGGTGTCTGCACGAGGCAGGACTGTCATCCATGAGGACAGGAGTGGGGCTGTCTCTGTTCACCCTGAGTTCTCTGAACTTAGCACACAAAAGACACTCGAGAACTATTTGTAGAGTGAATGAACGGACAGATGTGAAGTACTCAGAACAGTGTCTGGCACTAATTGGAGGTTAATAAATGTGAGCTGTTACAGCACTGCCCCCGGGAGGCTGCGCTGGGTGACTTACGAGAGGCCCTTGACCCAGAGCAGGCTCTGCCCGCTTCCCAAGCCCCTGCCTCTGGAGAGATGGCTGTTGGGTGGGAAGAGCAGTGGGTACGGAGACAAGGACTCAGATCGAGGCTCTGCCTCTTCCTGTCTGAGTGATTTCAGGAGACTCGGGTGACTGCTCTCTGTGAAAAGGGAACCTTCTATTGAGGCAGCCCCACTAGGGCTGAGGGGAGAGGGCACCCTTGGCTGGCGGAACCTAGAGGCGGGTGCTGATGGGTCCAGGTAGGGTGAGGCAGGGAAAGCAGGGCTGTGATGGCTCAGGCAGAACCTGGAGCCAGGCTGTGCCAGTGGCCGGCAGAACCAGCTTCTGGGGGGAAAGGGCCATTCGGCTCTCAGCAGAGGTCCCAGGACCCCAAGGCCAGTCCCCCCGCAGGCAGGCAGACTGCACCACCAGGCCTAGATACTGACCTGGAGCTACAGCGGCCCCCATGGCACAGTGAGAACACTGAGGCCAGGGGAGGAAACCGCCCAGGGCCCCGCACGCATTCTCATCGGAGGAGGAGGCCTCAGATCCGCTGAGCCACTCTGGCACCGTTTTAACATGGGCTGAGCGATGAATCAACATTTTAAAACTTTTTTTTTTCTCAAAAAATATAACTTGTCAAAAAGAATTTCAGAAATGCAGAAGTGTGTATATTTCAAAGTAAAAGTCTCCCCATTCGCACTCCCTGGAGAGAACTTCTCATGATCATCTATTGTGTTTCCATGGCTCTTCACTGTGCATTTACAGTCACACACATTTCGTGTCTCTCTTTATTGGCTTTTTTTTTTTTTTACACAAATGGAATCATATTGTTCTGCAGCTCATTTTATTTCACTTAACAGTTATGGCCTTGGCCATTTTCCAGCAGATCCAGGCTGGGACGGAGAGAAGCAGAAGGGCTGCGGGAGGCCTGGAAAACAAACGCTCCGTGTGTGTGTGTGTGTGTGTGTGTGTGTGTCTGTGTGTGTCTCTCTCTGTGTGTGTGTGTGTGTCTGTGTGTGTCTCTCTGTGTGTGTCTTTGTGTGCGTGTGTGTGTGCGCGTGTGCTGGGGGACAGGAAGGAGTCCCAGGGTAGATGGGGAACCTGGCAGAGAAGCCCCCACCGTCAGCTCCCAGAGCACTGTGATATCTGTCTCTAGACTTGAGCTCTCTGAGGCAGGAGCCACACCAACTTGTCCACATACACTGCTCAGGGCCCGGCACATAGTAGGTGCTCAAGAAACATTTGTACAGTGAAGTGAGTCCCTGCCAAGCCCATCTTTCTTGTCCTGGCAAAGACTACCTGGTCTCCATGCCTGTACTCCTTTCAATCTCTCGTTGGGTGTTTATTTCAACTCATGCTCAAATGGCATTGACCCCAACTGGACCCTGGAGATGGGGGCAGAGCTCAGGGAGAGGGGGAAGACCCTTCCCTTAGACAAGTCACTGTCCCTTTCTGCTGTCAGTTTGCTCACCTCCCTAATGAGGGGGCTGGACCCGCAGATCTCCAGGGGTCCTCCCAGCTCTGCTGTCTGTGGCTTCAATCCCACTCCCTCATTTCACGGATGAGGGGCTGAGTCGAGTCTAATTTTGTCAGCTGCCTCAGAAATCCACTGGGAAAAGGGAGGCTTGAGTTTGAGGATGCAGAAAAGGCTGTTGCCATATACCGAGCACCAACTGTGTGCCAGGGCCTGAGCTGAGAGCCGTCCGTAAAGTGAGCTGTCTGAATCCTTAGGACGTTTTCCTAGGCCCAGAGAGGGTGAGTAACTTGCCCAAGGCCACACCAGGACTGAGCTGGGGTGGATCTCAGGTCTGCCTGATCCCAAATGGGGAACTCTTCCTAACTAGGTCCTCTGTGAACCAAAATCAATAAAAGAGATAGTATCCGCTGGACCAAACTGTTCTCAGAAAATTTCAGGGGCCTCTCCCTCATCATTTCTCAGACAGCCTGACTTCTGTGTCTAAGTCCTGAGGCTACATGACTGGAATTTGGGCCAGGAAAGTAGTTGACTTGCAGAATTGGCTGGCGAGGGCTTGGGTACAAGAGACTTCTGATGGGTTTTGTGGCCCCAAGCCCAAACCCCTCCCTGCCCTCTCCTCCTAGGGGCTGGGGTGGGCCCATCTCCCATCTCCATTATTCATTCCTTGCCCCCCACTCCCCACCCCCCACCTGGTGTTGAACTCCTGGGGTTGGCGTCTAGACAGACAAGAGCATCCTACTGAGAACAGAAGCAGCCCTGACTGGGGCTGAAGGTTCCCATGGCAACTGCATCCCCTCAGCTGGCAGCTACCCGATAAATAAATAATTAGGGTGGGGGTGGGGAGCTAAGGGCAGGGGGAGGGGCAGCAGGGGAGCCTCTTGGAGGTTTCACTCAGGAAAGAGGGGGGTGGGTTAGAAGTGGGGTGGGGGTGGGGGGCGCGGCATTGCAAAGGCCAGGTGAGAGCAGACAGTGGAGGGAGAAAGGTGACCAGCTGTGTCAGAGATTCAGCAAGTCAGAGAGCCAGAACTTGACAGGCCCGGCATGGAGGTGAGGGAGAGCGGGGAGACCAGGACCTAAAGTTCCGTTTTCCAGCTCATGCAGCTGGACACATCATGGGGCCCCGAGTCACTGGAAATGGACCGGGTTTGGCGTATTAAGTTCATGATGAGCCATCCAGTGGGCAGTTGGTTTATAAAGGGCTGGAAGCTGAAACATGAGCAGGTAGTCACTGAAGCTTGGTAGGCATGCGTTTGCTGGGACAAGTGGAGCATGAAAAAGGGCCAGCTATAGCCTGAGGTTCTTGGATATTTAAGGGTCTGAGTGCATGGGCGGATGAGCTGCGCTGGACTCGGGAGTGGCCAGGCAGGGTGGAGAATGAGGTTACCTTCAGCACCTGCAGTGTGCCAGGCTTGGCCCTCGCCACTAACATACAGCAGCGGACATCTCGGGCAGAAACCCCCCCTCTCATGGAGTTTGCCCTCTAATGCAGGAGATAGACAGTACACAGAAGGTGGGTAGAGAAATGCCATGGAAAAAATAAACCCAGTGGGGAGGCAGGGAGTCCTGCAGTGGAGAATAAGTTTATTTGATAAATATTTTTATTGATTTTTAGAGAGAGAGGAAGGGAGAGGGAGAAACATCGATGTAAGAGCAAAGCATTGATCAGCTACTTCCTGCCTCCTGCACCCCCCACTACCGAGGATTGAGCCCTAAACCCGGGCATGTGTCCTGACCAGGAATCGAACCTGCTACCTTTCAGTGCACGGGACAATGCCCAAGAACTTAGCCACAGCCCTCTGTCCTCTGATGACAGCCTCCTTGCCAGGACCAGGTGCCAGCTGAGTTGAGAGCTTCAAGCTGGATCCCAAACCACCACGTTTCCTAAAGCCTAGCAGAGTGTGGGTGGAAGGGAGAACAAAAATGAGGCAGGGCCCTGGCCGGTTTGGTTCAGTGGATAGAGCATCGGTCTGCAGACTAAAGGGTCCCGGGTTCGGTTTCGGTCATAGGGCACATGCCCAGGTTTCGGGCTTGATCCCCAGTTTGGGGAGTGCAGGAGGCAGCCGTTCAACAAGTCTCTCTTATCATTGATGTTTCCATCTCTCTCGCCCTCTCCCTTCCTCTTTGAAATCAATAAAAATATATTTTTTAAAAAAAGAATAAACCTCATTTAAAAAAAAAAAAGTGAGGCAGGGCCTTTTGGCAGGGGGAGCAGCCTGGGGAGTTTCTCCCCCAAGGTCGGCAGATCATTGACGTCAAAACCGGAAGGACCCTTAGAGGTCATGTAGTCCAGCGGCCTCTATGGATGCAAGAGGAGCCCAAGACCCAGCAGGAAGGTGGCCTACCCAAGGTCACCCATGGTCAGTATCAGACACTCAACTGGAACCATGCCTCTTAACACCCAGGCCACTGCCAATGGGAAAGGTTGTGTGTCGGGGCCAAGGTGAGACAGGTGCAGAGAAAGGCAGAATGGTTGCCTGGCTCTGCCACCAGCCAGCTGTGTGACCTTAGGCAAGTCACTTCCCCTCTCTGAGCCTCATTGTCTCTTTCTCCAAAATGAGATCATGATCTCAGTTCTGCCTTTCTGCCAAGGAGTACGGAGGGAGAGATGAACTTGGAACGCTCTTTACAATCCGCAGAGCCCTGCGAGGGGAGTCACCAAAAAGAGGCAGGCTGGTGCCAGGTGGGTGGGTGCCAGGGTTGAGCCCGCAGCTTCCTGGGTCTCTGCCCAGCCCTGCCATCTGTGTGGTAGCATCAGGTCCACCTTCTCCTGCCTCTCTCCCAGGAAAAAAGCTTCTGGGATCTTTTCACCTTATCGGAATCGTCCCTTTCCCTCCCAAGCCAGACCCGCTTCTCTCCCCTTCTTCTATCTCAGTCAGGACTCTTGGTTGCAAGTGACAGAAATCACAGGTACAGGGAGGGGCAATTCGTTTCAGGCATGTCTGGATCCTCAGACCTAAAACGATGTCACTGGGACACTGTTCCTGCTTGTTCATCTTCCTTCCTCACGCTCTCCCTGTTCCTTAGCTTTGGTGACTCTCGGGAGCAGGGCACACAGTGAGTGCCCATCCCTGAATAGGTCACTGTGTGGATTATTGGCTAGGCATAGGTCACCAGCCCGCTATGGAAGTTAGAAGTGGGATCAGCCCCACCAAGCCACATGAACTGAGTGTCTGGGTGGCAGCTTCCAAAACCAGAAGAAGGAATATTGGTCAGTCAATACCAATAGGTACCCTTGGCACCTTTGTTCCTGATTGTATCAGCTGAAAAATTGAAGTAGGGGCTGCTGGAAAGGGAGTGTTGATTGTGTCCTGTATCAGTTAGCTTTTGCTGTGTAACAAATCACCCCAAAATGTAGTAGTTTAAAAGAATCATTTTATTCAGCTCATGATTCTGTATGTTAGCTAGGAGATTCTTCTGATTCTGGGCTGGGTGTCTGTGGCCAGCTGGTGGGTTGGCTAGCATCTGAATGAGCTAGAATGGCCTCACTCTGATGGCTGACTGGCTGGCAGCTGGGGCGCCTGTCATTCAGCAGGTCAGCTTGGGCTCCTTCACAAGGTGTTCTCTGTGTTACAAGTGTAGCAAGTGAGCAAGCTCCAGTGCACAAGCATTTTTCATGCCTTCGCTTGCTTCACATTTGCTTAAGTCCCATTGGGCAAAGCAAGCCACATGACCAAGTGCAGAGCTAGTGTGGGTGGGCACTGCCAAAGAGCATAGAAATAGGAAGAAGAATTTGAGGCCAGTTTTGCAATCTACTGCAGCTCCCTCAGGGAAGGGGAGAAAATAAAATCCCTTTCTCTGTGGCCCATGGATCCCATAGGCCAGGGTAACCTCCAGAGAGGGAGCCTGGGAAGAGATGACTCAGACCCGTTGCATCCCTGGGGCCTCCAGGGCCAGGGCTCAGCCCTAGAGCAGGGCCGGGGAGGAGTCTGGATCCTGACTCCACCAACTGAGAGCCCCACGTAAGGAAGGAGCAAGTGGGGAGGGCCTCTTGGCAGGGAGGTAGGGGTTCTGAACCCTGGCTCCCATCTCCCTTCAGCCCACCCCAAAGTCATGATCAGGGCTCAGTCCACCCCCACAGACTTGTCCCACCTCCCAGCAGCCCTTTGGTACTGCGGGGCTGGGATGGCTCCAAGATTTCTGCACAATCCGTCATGGTGCCTCATCACCACAATAACTGATGTCACCTCCTCCACAAGGTCAAGGAGTCCCTGCCCTTCCCTTTGAGGGCGTGCACACGGCCTCAGTCTGCTCTTTCCCACAGGTGGCTGCACTGGAGCGGCAGATCTTTGACTTCCTGGGCTACCAATGGGCTCCTATCCTAGCCAACTTCCTGCACATCATGGCGGTCATCCTGGGCATCTTTGGCACGGTGCAGTACCGCTCCCGGTACCTCATTCTGGTATGGCTCATTGACCCCTCCCAAGCCAACCTCTTCTCCTCACCCCTATCCCTCTCCCCCACTCCTCCAACCAAAACTGCCCCCCCACCACAGGCATGCAGACCCCTGCCCTGTATTGCCTCTAGTCCTGTTGATGTGAATGCCCAAATCTCAATGCTTCTTTATTCAGCGGAGGCAAGGTTGGTTTTTTTCCTAAAGAATTTACTAGGGAAAAATCCAACTATTAACATGATACATCATTTAATACAGTGGTTCTCAACCTTGGCTGCACATTAGAATCACCTGTTTTAAAATCCTGATTTCTGGGCCTCATCCTCCAGAAATTCTGTTTCTTTGTTACTAATGTTGTGGCCCCACTCCATAACAAAGAAACAGAATTTCCGGAGGATGAGGCCCAGAAATCAGGATTTTAAAAAGATTCCCAGGTGATTCTAATGTGCAGCCAAGGTTGAGAACCACTGATTTAATGAGTGCCTACCTTGTGTTGGACACTCTGCTAAGATGTCACTTGCTTTGTTGGATCTTTACGCAGCTCTGCGAGGTATATCGCACCATCTCCATTTTCTAGATGAGGAAATGAGTCTCAGAAAGGTTGCACCCCTTCCTAAGGTCACACAGCTAGTGGGTGGCAGAGCCAGGACTAGGGCCTCAGACCCAGAGCGGAGGCTCCTGCCACCTCACCACGCCGCCTCAGAAAGCCAGTGCGAGGAAGGAGCCTTGTCTAGCTTAGTTCCTCAGGTTGCGTCGGGAAAGCTTGGCGCTTGTCCCTTGGTGTTCATCAAGAATACAGTCGAGGGTGGCTCTGAGGCCCATCCCCAGAGTGGACTGTGTCCCTGCCTCCTTCCTCCTGCTCCCTTTTTCTAAGTCCTGGTTGGTCCTGGATGGTCTCTGTCAAACTCCTGTTTTCAGTTCACCTGTGTCCCCTGCTCTTCCTCCGTGACCCATTCACATACCTCTCTTGAGGGAAAAGGCTTTTCGGTAGATTTACTACAGAAACGCTTGACACCTACAATAACAGTGACACCCAGTGTCCTGCTACCACCAGAGCCCACTAGCCCTCATTCTAGGGCTTGTCCCCACCTCCCAGAGGCCAGGAGAACATGGCCCTTCCAGGGTTTTCTCTCATCTGCGTGAGATATGAGAACCCTTCTCTCCAGTTTTCAGGACACCCCAGGCACCAGTGTAAAATGCTGTGTCTGCTGGTGGCCGCCACTGGAATTGTAGGCATAGGGTTTGGGTGGAAATAGCCAGCCCCTCTTCAGCCAGCTCCTCTCTAGCTCTTGGCCATGTCCGGTGGCTGTTGTTGTCTTTTTAAAAATATATTTTATTGATTTTTTACAGAGAAAGGGAGAGGGATAGAGAGTTAGAAACATCGATGAGAGAGAAACATTCATCAGCTGTCTCCTGCACACCCCCTACTGGGGATGTGCCTGCAACCAAGGTACATGCCCTTGACCAGAATCGAACCCGGGACCCTTCAGTTCGCAGGCCGACGCTCTATCCACTGAGCCAAACCGGTCAGGGCGGCTGTTGTTTTCTGCCGAATGGATAGGATTAGCTACCCCAGGACTTGGGTTTGAGTTCCAGCCCTACCTCTTTCTAGCTGTGTGATCTTAGAAAAAATGACTCTCTCCAGGCCTTAAATTAGTTATCTCTGAAGCGAGGACAATGCCTTCCCTGCAGGGCTGTTATAAAGACTGGTTTGGTATAAAAATGATTTGTTAACTATTCTCAGTGCTCTGTGAGCAAGGTATTGTCGTAACGTCCCCTGCAAAAGTCTTCTCAGTCCATTAACTCTGTGTCCATGGACATACCCCAAGCCCCCTCCCCCAGGCCCCACCCTGACCCCACCTCTGCTTTCCCCAGTATGCAGCCTGGCTGGTGCTCTGGGTTGGCTGGAATGCATTTATCATCTGCTTCTACCTGGAGGTTGGACAGCTGTCCCAGGTAAGCCTCAGGCCTGGCAGTGCCAGCGGGCAGAGCCTGGCCTTTCCCCTCCCACCCTAAAGGCTCCCACGGTGATATGGGTCTGGGCCATCATCTCTTTTGTGAATTTTTTTTGGGGGAGGAGGGGAGGGCTGGGGAATTATCTCTTAAAGAAACTTCCCTCCACACACCCAAATAATCTATTCCCATCCCCCACCCCACATTTTTGTTTCTGGCCCCCTCCGCACTTCTCAGACACAAATGATGATGGAGCAGATAAGGGTGAAGATCCGTCTGTGTGAAGATGGGCTGGGGTCCCGGTTGATAACAAGCTTTGTAGAAACTAACAGTATATGGTGGCCCACAAAGCTGCTCTTAGGCCTCACCTGTGCTCAGTGCAAGGGAGGTGAAAATCCCATGCACTTTGTACTGTCTAGACCGCAAAGATTCGAGTTCAGGGCTGATCAATATTTTTTCAGAAGAACAAGAGATTAGGTAGAGTTTGTTCGGGAAAAATTGAACAGACCATGTCACATATTGAAGTAAGTAGGAATATTTAGCTTTGAGAAGAGTAAACCCAGAGGGTATAACTTCCATTTTTATTATTATTATTTTTTAATTCTAACCCAAGGATATTTTTTTTTCATTGATATCTAGAGAGAGTGAAAGGGAGGGAGGGAGAGAAAGAGAGAAACATCAACATGAGAGAGACACACATTGATTGGTTGCCTCCTGCATGGGCCCCTATGAGAGCTGGGGAACCCGCAACGGAGGTACGTGCGTGCCCTTGACCAAGAATCGAACCCTCGACCTTCGGTCCACAGGCCAACACCCCAACCACTGAGCCAAACCATCGAGAGCACAACTTTCATTCTTAGATATTAAGAAGGCAGCATACATGAATGAGAGCACTTGTCTTGGTAGTTTGACTATCTACTACAGTGGTTCTCAACCTTCCTAATGCCGCGACCCTTTAATACAGTTCCTCATGTTGTGGTGACCCCAAACCATAAAATTATTTTCGTTGCTACTTCATAACTGTAATTTTGCTACTGTTATGAATCGTAATGTAAATATCTGATATGCAGGATGTATTTTCATTGTTACAAATTAAACATAATTAAAGCATAGTGATTAATCACAAAAACAATATGTAATTATATATGTGTTTTCCGATGGTCTTAGGCGACCCTTGTGAAAGGGTCGTTCGACCCCCAAAGGGGTCATGACCCACAGGTTGAGAACCGCTGATCTACTAGATTCAAATCCAGCTCTAATGTTTTCTAGCTGTCTGACCTTGGGCAAGTGTCTTACTCTCTCTGAACTTCAGTTCCTCATCTAGTAAGTTCAGATAAGAGCAACCCCAACTTCCTTTGATTGCTGAGGGGATAAACAAGATCACACATCTCAGTGCTTTGCACCTGGTCAGCATGCAGTGAATATTTGTTAGCAGACTGTATGAGTGGATGACTCATGAACACAGGGATGCACATCATGGATAACAACTTCTGACCTAGGTCAGCCACTTTGCCATTTCACATGGAGAGACTGAGGCCCAAGAGGGAAAAGGTTTGCCCAGGGTCACACATAGGGAGCACATTGGAGAGGCTGAGTGGGCCGTGAAAGGGCCTGTATTGAAGATTTCACCAATAGCTGGAAAATTGTATCTGGTCACTCAATGTTCTTTCCAGCCCTGGAATCCTGGGATTCTGTAGGTCAGTACCAGCCCCTTCTATTGCTGATGGAATAGGGAGGCTTGTATGGTCATTCCGTGCCACCTACTGGCCAAACGTGGATCTGCAGATACATACTCTTCACACCCCCTCACCCCCATGCCCTCCACAAAGCAAGTTATGGGAGGAGGCTGCTATAACGGTCCACATGTGAAATATGCTTTATATATAGTCTCCTGGGAGCTGGGGAGGATTCCCCCACCCCAGCTCAGTATCCTAGGCCCCTCTACCCCCAGGACAGGGACTTCATCATGACCTTCAACACATCCCTGCACCGCTCCTGGTGGATGGAGAATGGGCCAGGCTGCCTGGTGACACCTGTCCTGAACTCCCGCCTGGCCCTGGAAGACCACCATGTCATCTCTGTCACTGGCTGCCTGCTCGACTATCCCTACATTGAAGCCCTCAGCAGTGCCCTGCAGATCTTCCTGGCTGTGAGTCCTCCTGTCGCCCACCTCACAACACTCCCAAAGTGGAGTCTGAAAACCCCTTTGCTTAGCCCTAGTTAAGAAGGGTTGAATCTGGGTCTTCCAGCCTGCCTGGGGAGGATCTCCCCACCCCACATAATTCTCTTTCCTCTTAGCAAGCCAGTAAGGTATTGCCCAGATCCAACTGGGGAAACTGAGGCTCAAAGAGGTAAAATAATTACTTGTCCGAAGTCACAGTCCCAGGTCAGAAACTGCAACCAGGAATGTTTGACTTTAAGGCCCATCATTAACTTGGAAGTTGTTAGGGGTTTGCCTTCATGTGAGCACACCCTGTTCCTCCAGCCTGGGTAGGCAGGGCCAGGCAGAGGGTGGAGGGAGAGCTTCCCTCTCATCCTCTTCCTCCCTCAGCTGTTCGGCTTTGTGTTCGCCTGCTACGTGAGCAAAGTGTTCCTGGAGGAAGAGGACAGCTGTAAGTATGTGGCGCCCCTAGGAAGTGGAAAAGCCTGGCCGCGGGCCACCCCGCGTCTTCAGCACCCTGGACAGAGGCCCGCACGGCCTCGGTGGGAGGGAGCCTTGGGTCGACCCCTTTTATGAGTGGGGAGGAGAGGAGCCAGGGGTGGCTGGGATTTGCATAGTCAGCCCATTCTGGACTGAGGTCCGGATGTCCAGGTGCCCAGTCCACGGCCCCAGCACCACCACCCTACCCGCCCCTCTCAGGCCCTGCTCCTTGGAGGGGCTCCACAAGGCTGGTCCCTATCTGGCACCTCCCATTCCCAGCGTTTTCCCCCAACCCCGTCTCCTCCCCTGAAGTGGCTCAAGCCCTGCCCCCAAGAACCTTCTCCCTTAGGGGCGCCCCGCCCCCAGCCCATTTCTAACTATATGCCACCTCCCCTTCTGCAGTTGACTTCATCGGTGGTTTTGACTCCTACGGATACCAGGCGCCCCAGAAGACGTCGCATTTACAGCTGCAGCCTCTGTACACGTGGGTCATGGCGCCGAGCAGGGTGGGATGGGGGACCCGGGCGTTAGTGTCGGTAAAAAGGAGAGGAGGGGTGGGAAGAGCAGTCGGATCTCTCTGCTCCCCCATTTTCGGGGTCCACTTTCCTAACCTGCCTTTGTTTCCTGCAGGTCGGGGTAGCTTCAGCCCCACGCCCACCCGGGTGCCGTGCCCAGTGCTTTGTGCTAAACTGACAGCCGCTGCCCGGAGCTCAGGCCAAGATGGCAGGCGCGCCCCCTGGTGGCTGCCGGGCTGACTGCAGCTTGCGCAGCTCGATCTGGTCTGCCTCGGACTTGGCCCTTTGCAGCCTGGACTTCAGGGATGGGGCGGGGCGGGGTGGGGCGAGGGAGGGGAATCTCGGGGTTTGTATTTTTTTTAATATCAGCCTTGGCGTGCGCTGGGGCCTCCCTCCCTTTTCCAGCCTCTCTCTTTCAACCTTCACTCAGCATCCTGTTCACTGTCCAGAGAGTAGAGGCAGGATGGACAGACTCACCCCACCTCACCACACTCATTCACACCGTGAGCTAGGAGCAGGAGTCCTGGGTTCTAATCGCAGCTCCATCACTGACTCTGTGTGACATCTGGCAAAGCTCTTGCCCTCTGGTCCTCAGTTTCCCCACCTCAAATAATTAAAATAATCCCTTAGCAGATGGAGCTCTTTCTAGCCTTCTCTCTCCGTTGACACTCAGTTCCCTGGGTTAGGCTGGTATTATAATCCCCATTTTGCAGATAAGGAAACTGAGGCCCAGAGGTGTAGAGGCCACACAACTAGGCTTTTGGTGGAGGCAGGCCTTGAACACAGTGTACTTTCTGTAGTTTCAACCTCCAAAACCCAGTGCCTGGTCTCCACATTCCATTTTCAAACCCTTTCCAGCCTGGACACTCCAGAACCCATGAGATCCACACCATACCTACACATCACCGCCACCACTTGCCAGCGCCTCTCTTAAAGCAATATACCCGTTCTCTCGTTGGGAACTAGACATATGGAGCCCAGAGCCCTGAATTCAGCCTGGCCCACAGGGAAGCCTTCCTAGACTTGGCTTCTGTCCACCCTTGGCAACCCTTTCAAGCTCTCTCCGGGAAAGGGGACTCACAGTCAGTCGTCACCCCCCTGTCCAGGTGCCTAAAGCTGCTGCACCTATGGTCCCCTACGCTCTCAGCAACTCTGCCTGACCGGTTGGAAGACCTGTGATTTAAGAGTGGAAAAGGGCTGGTCAGCTCTAGCTGGTCACCAGTGCTCACAGATCACTAGCGCTTATGACTACTCCAGTGTCCTGGAGTTCTGAAGAGGTAGAGTGGGGGTGTGGGGTCAGGAGGTCCAGCACACTTCCTTGAGAGCAAGCAGAGAGGAGAGCTCTTTCTCCCCACCTCCCCCCACAGGCATCCCAGAGCAGCCTGCATCCTGTGCCCTGGCTGGTGAGTCCAAGGGCAGGAGGATCAGGCCTCAGCCTCGCAGCCTGTGAAATTGGAGTGGCCCTGGGTGAGGAAGGGTGGGAGGCCTCAGGGAGCTGGAGGGAAGTGCAGACAGTTTGCACACCTGAGCCCGTCCATGGTGACCACTTTGTTCTATGCTCTTCCCTCTCCAGTCTAGTATTACCTACTGTCTAAAGCCAAAATATCCTGAGCTAAAACCCCCCTCCAAGTGCAGTTCTGTGCCAAGGAACCAGCCCCAGGAGTTCCTCTGGTCACCACAGGCACCGAGGTCCCAGATGGTCAGCCCCATTAGCTGGTGGGTACAGCTCAAGATGGGGACAGTTCCCTTGAGGCCTGACTGCTGCCCCACCACTTGGCTAACTCCTGCCTCCAGGCCTCCCTTCTCCTCCCCCACCGCCCCCAGCCAATTGTCATCTCACCTCCACTCCCCCAACCCCCTTTCTACTCAAGGGGTTTAGCCACTGGTGCTTTGAAGACTTTTGTTTTTATAAGACAGTTTTTGCAGGGGGACCAAGTTCTCACTGGGACCTTGCAAGGCAGGGCATGTTCCCCTGGTTTCTGTGCAGGTGGGTTGATTAAAGATGGTGTTTTCTTCTCTATCTTCCTGTCCTCCTGCCTTGTGAGTCAGCAGGGCCCCTGCATGAGGGTGGGCGGGGGCTGGAATCAATGTCCTTGTCACTGTCATTCCTGGGGCATGGCCTGGGCCTCCGACTGGCTGTGTCGCTGTGGGCAGGTTACTCTCCCTCTCTTTCCTGGCCCATAAAATGCAGAGGTGGGACTGAGTCCGTGGGTTTCTTGGGCTTCCCAGCCCCTTGGAGAGCTTTCTATTTATTTTTCTGATGACGTGCATTGTCAGTTTGTGCTGTCGAGTATCCCTTGCTTCTTGGCTCTGCCCTCTTCCTGACAATTCAGTTCCTGACTTGGGATGAGCTGGTGGACAGTGTTTTCCAGGGAGATTCCCGTGCCGCACCTGGGGCATTCTGGGTCCTTTCTGGAGATACACCAGAGTCAGTATTTTGAGTTTTTAAACTTTTACTTACTTTTGTGAACAGTTAATATATATATATATGAAACAGAATTTAGAAAGTTACCAGGAGTTCTGTTCTCTTGTTTTCTATATCTTTCCAAAGATAGTTGATTCTTTAAAAATTTGTTATAAATATTTGTTTTTTCCATTTTTTTTCACACAAGTGGCAACATATCCTACTTTTCAACTCCCTGCCGTTTTTCACTTTCTGACTCTTGGGAGTCTTCCCCCAATAATACCTGCGTAGCCGCCGCCCGTCCTTCCACAGTGATTTGGTAGAATTGGGGTTTTTGTAGGGATCCCGGGTGTCCTGGTGCAGCCGGGGACTAAGAACCAGGGCTTCTATATAAGTGCCCCAGGCCGTTGTGCAGACCTCTGTGGACCACTTCTGGTCATGGGGTCGGAGGAAGAGAAATCAGACACCGCCTGTAAGGAGCTCCTGGTCTGGAGGGGAGCCCGCGGGAGGGGCAGGCTGAAGGGGGAGTGCTGCTGCAGGGGTCAGTGCCGAGGACAGTGTGGAGGGAAAGGCAGTTGTTAACAGGAGCTCGGGAGAGGTGATCTGAGTGTCCTGGACAGGCAGCAGCAGGAGCAAAGGTGTGAGGGAGGACACATGGTGCCTGGAGTCAGACTAGCAGGGACTAACTGGTTGGAGGAAGCTTCTATGGGGACTGTATTCGTTTCCTATTGCTGTCATCAATCACCACGGCTTCAGTGTCTTAAAACAATGCAAATGTATTTGACGGAAGTTCAACGTTCAACGTGGTGTCACGGGGTAAAGTCAAGATTTCTTTCTGGAGGCTCTAGGCCAGAATCCATTTCCTTGCCGTTTGTAGATTCTAGAGGCTGCTTCATTTTTTATTATTTTTTTGGACATATATTTTTATTGATTTCAGAGAGGGAGAGAGCGATAGAAAGATCAAGGATGAGAGAAAATCATCGATCGGCTGCCTCCTGCACACCCCCCACTGGGGATTGAGCCCACAACCCAGGCATGTGCCCTGACCAGGAATCGAACCATGACCTCCTGGTTCATAGATCGACGCTCAGCCACAGAACCACGCCGGTCGGGTGAGGCTGCCTGATTTCTTGGCTCTCGGCCACTCTTCCTCCATCTTCAAAGCCAGCAGGGTGACATCTCTCTGACCCTTCCTTCTTCCATCAGCTCTCTCTAACCACAGCCAGGAAAGGTTCTCCACTTTTAAAAGTTGTTGTTGTTTTTAATATTTTTTTTATTGATTTCAGAGAGGAAGAGAGTGAGAGAAAGAATCATCAATGATGAGAGAGAATCATTGATTGGCTGCCTCCTGCAAGCCCCTACTGGGGACCGAGCCCACAACCCAGGCATGTGCCCTGACCTGGAATGGAACTGTGACCTCCTGGTTCACAGGTTTTCACTCAACCATTGAGCCATGCAGGTGGGGCAAAACTCTCACCCACATAGTCCAGGAAAATCTCCCCTTTTCAAAGCCCTTAATCACATCTGCAAAAGTCCTTCTTTAAGAAAATAAACATTTTGATTGTGTGTGTGTTTTTTTTGGGGGGGAGATCGATCTGCCACTCCTCCCATTTATGCATTCATTGGTTGATTCCTGTTTGTGCTCTGACTGGGGATTGAGCCTGCAGCCTTGGTGCATCCGGACAATACTCCAACCAACCGAGCCACCTGGCCAAGGCTGCAAAAATCCCTTTTGCCATGCAGCACATTCACAGGCTCCAGGGATTAGAATGTGGACAGCTTTGGGAGCCATTATTCTGCCTTCCACAGGGAAGTTGTATCCAGGTTATAGCCCTGAATGCCAAATCAGGTGCATCAGACGTGGTGGCTTCTGCAGGATTTAGAGCTGTCCTGCAGAGAGAGCCCGTGGGGCTGGAGAGGTGGGTTGGAGGAGGAGAGCAAGAAGCAGTGTTCTTTCGGGAAGAGGCCTAGGTTTTCTCACTTCCCTGTGTCATTGGGGATTGGGGATATGTGTGTGACCATGAACTCTAACCTTGGGAGGGCTAGTACAGCAACGAAGAGCATAAAATGCAGAAGTCCAAATGTATCACTCTGGCCCTAGCTGGTTTGGCTCAGTGGATAGAGTGTCGGCCTGCAGACTGAAGGGTCCCGGGGTCGATTCCAGTCAAGGGCACATGCCCAGGTTGTGGATTGGATCCCCAGTAGGGGGTGTGCAGGGGGCAGCCGATCGATGATTCTCTCCCATCATTGATGTCTCTATCCCTTCCTCTCTGAAATCAATAAAAATATATATTTTTAAACAGTATGACTCTGGAAACTACCAAGCTGGTCTTCCCACCAAACTCCCCCACTGCTGCCACCCTGGGGCCATCTCCCAGCAACCTCTGCCCGTCAGCATAATCCAGATAAGACAGACCATCTTCAACAACTGCTCGGTCATAAAGGTGCCCAAGGCATTCTGTGAAGCAACAGAATATCAATTCTCAAAGGTGGGTTTGACAAGCACAATAGTCACTGAGATTTACAGACATACTGGTGTTTTCTTCAACATGTTGGAATTGGGTCTTGGCATTTCCAAACAGATTAGATGTGAGGGAGGGCCTGATGCCAAGGCCTCTTTGCTCTACATGACTCATTACTGCCCAGGCTACTGGCCCAGGCAGTGTTTCTCAAACTTGCATATATAAGAGTCCCTTAAAATCCAAATTTCTGAGCCTGATCCAAGACACTGAACCCAGCATCTGGGCAATAATAGGAATCTGTTTTGTTTGTTTTTGTTTTTACAAGTGATGCAGGTTTGGGAACTCCTAGGCCCAGGTAGAGGCATGCAAACCTTTTTTAATCTTCCTTTAAGCCAGTGTCGTGGAGGCC